TGTATATATATATATATATATATATATATATATATATATATATATATATATATATACAATGTGTGTGCTGACGTGTGAAAAAAAATGTAAAAAAAATAAAAAAATTCATTAACTACTATAATATGTTATGAAAACATCGAAAAAAAACTCAGTTGGCGAAGAAAACATAGAAGTGGATGACAGATATGGAGACTTAAACGGATATTCATATCCGTTTGGCTTGGCCTACGGATGTTGGATCTTTCATTTCAGTTTATTTTTTTTAATTTTTTAATTATGATAATTCAATTTTCACTGAGGACAATTGTGGAATGGAGTCGTGCAGGAAGAAATTTGTGGTGGTGTAGGGAGCAACACCCGATGTTTATTTGGATGTTGCTCCCTTCACCATCATCTTGTATTTTCTCCACCTTCCCACATTATTTTAAATACAATTATATCTTTAAGTTAAAAAGATTTTTACTTTTATCCTATTTTAAATAATTTGAAACCCTAATTTTATTTTCCCAGCACCCACCCACGGAACTCTCTTTCCCTTTCCTTATTTCCGTTTCACTTCCCCACCTCCCACGCTTACATTCCTTTTTCTTCCCAATTTTTTTTTTGGTTTGAAAGCTTCCATTGCCACCGTAGTGTGAAGGAGTGTCGCCGCCGTGGTGTGTAAGAACGTCCAAAGCGTCGACCAACATGAGGAAGTATACATCAACGGAGGTGACATCCTTCAACAAATGTCCCCTAATAAAACAAATCCTAAAATAAAAAACGTAACCTTTAAACGGAGGTGACATCCTTCAACGGATGTCAACATCCGTTTAAGGAAAAACGGACCGTTGAAGGATGTTGACATCCGTTGAAGGATGTCACCTCCGTTTAAAGGTTACTTTTTTTATTTTAGGGTTTGTTTTATTAGGGGACATCCGTTGAAGGATGTCAACTCCGTTTAAAGGTTACTTTTTTTATTTTAGGGTTTGTTGTCAAGGTTTATTCGAATACGCACTTGAAGGAAGCACGACACGTACTGCACCACGAGAGGGAATGCACCACGAGAGAGACTGCTTGATAATTCTTTCTACCACCACCAACCTTTGTAACTTGTAGTATCTCACAACTACGAAAGAAAGAGATAAAGAAGTATAATGTTAAAATGAAAGAAAAATATTTTACTCATGTACGAGACTAAAATATGTTATTAGAGAAATAGGTTGTGAATGAGTAAAATTAAAAAATGATAACTTTAAAAATAAAATTTTACTGAGGAGCAAAATAATAAAAAGAAGGTAAAGAGAGAAAGGTGTGGTGATGGAGGAAGCAACACCTATCTAGTTACGAGGTAGACGAATATTTAGGTCTGTTTTTTTAACTTAACGTTTGATAAGTGTGGTTAAAGTAAACGGTAAGAATTGAGTGTGGTTAAAGTAGCTTGTAAGGTGGCGAACCCAAAACAATAGACCCAAGTCAAGTAATTCTTGAAAATGCATTGAGGTTAATGCCAAAAACGACGTGGGATGTGGCATTTTTTGGTGAATATATCCTGACAAAGGCGTTATATAATAGAATAATAATAATAATAATAATAATAATAATAAGAATCAGAATGAGAATGTGAGTGCTTTATCACTTACCACAGCTGCTGCTCCATCAGCATCAGATGGGAATTAAAGTAATGACTGGTGTATTCAGTACATTTTATTTGTCCACGCCACAGGGATGGGCCATCTTCAAAACCGTGTTGCTGATATTTACAGCACAAAAAACTTGAGAGAAAAAGGCTTGTATATATCATGTCATGTATGTAATGTATGGGGGGCATTGGAATCACTATTCCTTTTCTCATCGTGGTCCCCAACCCAACCTTTTCAGTTGTCTCTGTCTTGACCTTTGCTTTGCACCAACATTCTCTTTATTTATTTTTCTTGTTTTTCATACATACCATATGTTCATGGACTTCTTGCTTAATCCCATTTCCTTCATCTGCATTATTCACCTCAAAAATATGCCTTCTCCTTCAACTTTCCAACTAAACAAATAACACAACCTTCTGTTCTTTCTGTAGTCATATTTTCGTCTGCTCAGCATTTTGTAATCAAAAACTAGTTTGCAATAATTTATCTTCAGATGCAACGATAAATGTAACTTTTGTTGTTAAGAAAACATTTCTCTTCATGCAATGAATGTAATGATTAATCAGAGTTCTGATATTTGATATATTACAATTGGGTAGAACGATTAAATTCGCAATCATCTTCTGAACGAGAAATGCTACCCGTGATGGCTAGAAATGCTCATGAAACTAAATGAAAGTTAAAGCTTTTGGCTTACTATTGATACCAAAGAAATAATGGTACTGAAATCAATTTCCGTTATTAAATTAGCTTCTTTGTGTCTCAGACTCTGACCCATTTATGGTTATGCTTCGCATAACTTTTGGAAAGTTGCATAACCATTTAAATTAAGAGGTCAATGCATGTTCTTCGTTTTCAACAAGTTATGTACACAGAATAGAAAATTATAGTAATAATTATGCGCATCGGGTTCAAATTTGCTTCACGACAAATGGGTTTTCGAAGGGTACTACTGTTGCACCTTATTTTTATGCAAAAGCAGTCGCGCAAATCCATCAATCATCTATTCAATCCACAGTGTGGAAGCCATTATTGTAGTGACTGGATATTCGTAAAATAAGACGAATTGTCCAAACAACAAATGTACCAGTATTGCTTTTCAAGACAATGCAAGTTATACGCAGTTTGGTTCGAATTTAATCTTCATATCTGACGCATTTGCCATTTAGTCTCTAATTTTGTTAAAACTTCAGTTGATGTTTGTATAGGCAAAGAAAATGATTTTATTAGCACCCATGAAAAAACTAGTACAAAGAAAGAGTATTTTTAGACATCTACGAAAAGGACTCAAAATAACTGACACAGAAAGAAGTTTATATAACCCTTCACAAAGTTTGCTTTACTGAAAACAGCATCTGATCTGGTGCCTTCTAACTATTGATGCACCAATCAACATGTTCAAGATGGGAAGGGTGTTACATCATGTGACTTCTTATTGTGTTGTCATTTTGAACAGAAATCACAGAGTAGGATTTCATTCCAACAAACCATCTCCCTCTGTTCATGGACTCAGCAGTTTACCACCAATTAATGGAAAAACTGCTGCCAATTTCTTAGGATACTAGGAAAATTTTAGCTCTGCATACCATTCTCTGCTTCCTTTCGGTGGCTAGTTATCAGTGCCAATTATCGTTTGACCACACAGTATATATCGATTCTCGAATACTACAATTCACTGTAGAGTCAAACAGTGGCAATGCATTCATAAGACATCTTCATCATTTTCTACATGCATGAGTGATAACCAAAGTGCGACTTTGAACATGTTACATCACTCATTATTCTAGTACTTGGATATTCAGCAAAAAATTAGTTATAGTTTTATTTACTGTCTTGTTTGTTCCTTGTTCATTTAAGTAAACAAAATCATTATATATCTTAAACTGCTTGATATCATTTATAAATTTTTGCTCTAGAAAAATGCAGAATAGATTGATCACTCCAATTCAGTGGTGTGGGTCACAGTATATGAGAAATCTAGTTGAAAGCAACCTAATACTCGCTCAGGACAAGTAGTGAACAATTAATGTCTGTTCACGTTTTGGAATAATAATATAAGAAAAAAGGAAATCAAGAGTACAATCAGAGGTTAGGTTGTCAATTTTTCTTTTTGTTGCTTTCTCATATTGCATGTAGCAGAGTTTGGCTCCGTCTAGAGAGTGCTACAGGATTTCTCAATAGAAAGAACACAGAAAGTAAAGCACAGTTCTGTGCTGTTTTTTCAAAACTTAGAAAAGATTGATTGTATTCTTTGACCTCATGTTAGTGCAGGATTCTCAAGGGAAAACAAATAAGAATATCATTTAACTTGTTTTCAAATGTTCTGTAATACATCTATAAATTAGTTGCATGTCAGTTATATTAGGTAGGAAATTTGTTCCTTCCAATAATTTTATAAGTTTCATTGTACTGTCGTAAAATCACTTCTCTCCTTTGTATATCTCCAATGACAACTTCTCAGATTATTTGGGAAGTTTTAGCCATGCTAATATATATATATTACAGAAAAATAAAAGAAATAAAAACAGAAATATTCACTCCAATCTCCATGTCCATCTAACTATCACCCCAGAAATGAACAGAAGAAAGCAACTATGCTGCTCTATGCAAACTGGCACTCATTTTAAGTTTTAAGCTTGCAGAATCTGCTTTAGAGAAGAGGAAGTAAGTGCTAAATTAACTCGGAAACTGCAATTTACATGTTAGACGACCATAGCAGCCGCAAATGATACAACTAAAGGAAATGAGGGCAGTTTACTATAGAAAAATAAAAGCTCTCCTCAGAGAGAGGTCATTGAGAGGGAAAAGCCAAAAGACTAAAAAAACAAAAAGAATTACTTAGAAATGTATATTCATGTACAAAATTGGTAAATCAGTTGCTGTCATCCTTGATTATCTAACAACTACATTGTAGAACAATTTGAATCAGGGGTTGAAAATACGGTTCCCACATTTGCACTTCCAACTCATGGGCTTGTAGTTGGACCCGCCTTCTCCCATTGGAAAAGCAATAGTTGACAGAGTTGAAGAGTTGATCCTCCCATTCTGCGCTTGAGGATTTGTAGGTACCTGAATGGCCTCACAGTGTCCACAAGACCTGCACCTTCTCTCGCATCTTGGTGGCCTTGAGCCTATCTGCGCCCTTACCATTGTTTTGTCATCATGTACTGTCTACACAAATCAGCATCATTTCTCATGCAGTTAATGTTTGTAATGAGTAATGAATCAGTCATGCTAATAATTAGCAGGGAGTGAAGATATGAAATTGTACCTGATAAAATCCATTCTGTTTGGGAGTCTTTCGACCTGTTAGAACAAAGATATGAAATTGTTAGTTGCAGATGGTACTGGTGTCCATTTGGAAGCTTTGAAAACTTGTAATGAATGAACCTTCAGTAACAAGTCCGAGCTGGGTCCAACTTGAAATTATGAGAAAGCAAAGAGAAATGGTAACAAGTGTGAGTGTTCGGGCACAGATAAAATGGTGATGATCACGTCGTCCCATTGTGGTGTATAAAGAGCACAGAGTGAAGAGAGGTGAATAAGAAAGAGAAATTAAGAAATGAAAGGACGGAGAGTATAATATAGTAGGATAGGATGAAGCAAATAGCACAAAGTGAGTGAGTGAGTGACAGGGTGGAAGGAGGGAGGAATAAATATATTGCTAAAAAGACCTTTTCATGTTGAAGTGATGGAACATAGAAGGACAAATGAGAAAAATGCAGAGGGGCAAGAAAAGGAGGAGCCCCGAAAAGGGAAACACCTCTCCTTTGGTCGACGAGCCTCTGTCAAAACAAGAAACCAAAGATTGTATAATAATTGCTGCAACTGCAAGGGAGAAGCATAGACATTACATTACAATTACATCCCTGACTGAGAACTGAGAACCCCAAATACATGATAGCAGATAAGACAAGTAGAATATATAAACAGCAAAAGGCCACCATTTTTCACCAGATGTGAGGGAAAATCTCCCACTAGAGGACATGCATTTACAGCTGTAGATTTTTGTTCTTTTTTCATTTATTTTACACATGCTTGCATGCATGTATGTGCATACTGTTTTTAATTCATAACTTTAATTTTATGTGTTTTGTTTTTGGTTTGAGGTGTACCATTGGTTCTGTAGTATTTGTCAGCAGAGTAGTCCCACCATAGAATACATATACAACGGTATTACTCTACATTCCCCTCTCTCTTTCTGTCTGAGTGCGAGAAAGAGAAAGAACATAATCTCTCTCTGGCTTCAACATTATGGTATTATCTTTTCACTCTATCATTATGCAATCACATAAGATCCTGGCAATCATTCTTCTTTTTCTCTGGTTGGGGTTTGGTAAATCTGATGGAATGATTCAGAACATGCATTCCTTCTGCTGTGTTTCATACTCACACTGCTAAGCTAGCGACTAATAACCAGCCTTCAGCCGCATACCAATGCTTACATAATAACATCTTTCCCACGCTCGCATCTCTTGTCGTTTTATCTACTTTTATTCAGTACAACTATACAAAGGATTTGTAAGATTGAGTTAATTTTAAATTAAGTTATTGCATTTCACATAATCGTGTCAATTTAGATTAAATTACAGAAAGTATAACTTTTTACTTCTGGTAAACGTGGGTAAATTATGTTAAGGTTTCCTTCTTCTGAACTTACTCAAACACGTTATGAATCTCAGACGTTGATTGTACATATTGACAAATTTGGGCTTTCTAAACTCCAAAGCTTTTTTTCTTGTTTGTGAAAAGATGACATGGCCCAATTTGTACAATGAATGATTCTCCACTCCTAGTGTGTAGTCCAATCAGATGTTAAAGGCTGAGCCAACCCACTTTCTGAGAGAAAACAAAATACGAAGCAACCCACGCCCACTTGATTATGATCATCTAAAAAGTTACACCTGCAACAAAAAGAAGCATTTAAAAACTGTTTCCATTTTTTCTTTCTAAAATAATCAATGCATCAGCAAAAAAGGATATCACAATGTTGCATAAGATTAAACACTTTGTACAAAACTTTACTTCTATGCTAAATTTGTTAAAATGGGTTCAGTAAAAAAGTTTACTTTAAAGAGTCAAAATGCATTTAAATCAGTTTTGGATTAATCTTTTGTACAAAGTGTTTAATCTCGAGAGTTTATGTAAACTCGTGAAAATTCAGTAAATTCGACTCGTAAACTAGTAAAAATTTACTATGAAAAAATATAAATTCATAAAAATATTTTTCATACACATATATTAATTAAAATATATAAGTTTCCTAAGAATATTGTTCATAAAAATATTATAAAATATTATAAAATATAAATAAAAATATCAAAGTCATTATGATTATTTCTCTAATAATAGCATCATTTATGGAATGAAGATACACTTGGATTAGTTGGCATTATTGAATTTAATATTACTTTTAAATGTTTTCAAAAAAAAGTGGGAGGACTTATGATTTATAAAAACAAACAAAAAATTTCATTCATGTAATAAAACCATAAGAATTTAATTTTTTAATAAATCATTTATATACTAAAATAAAAAATTTAATAAAACATTATAAATTTCAACTTCAATAAAAATTTCAATTTCTAATAAAATCATATAAGGTCAAGGTTAGGGCTGTAATTTTAGAATTAGAAAACTTCACTCAACACCACTTACGGCTTGTTAGCTACAAAAAAAGGTAAGTGAACCGGTCGCAACGTAGCAAGTGATAAATATCGTTATCTCCCAAGGTATTTATGCAACACATTTGACAACGTTTCCTTCCATAACTCAATTAGACATCAAAGTGTACAAAAAACACAAGAAACTCTTTTTGGTATTTTTATCAAACAGTTGGTGTGCAAGGAATTTAACATAGAGTATTTACAATTTGTTAAGACTAGAATTCATCCATTTCATTCTCATGCATTCACAAACATCTCAATTCCATCCAATAGGTGTTCGATTTCACTTCTAGGTTCAATTCATATTTCTCAATACATCAAGAACCAAAATTCATGCATGGGTGATCAATCCAAAGCAAGCATTAAGTATAAAAAT